GGTTTTAATCAAAAAATAATTATCAAGTTGTGTACTCTACGCGTATGGTTAAAATAATTACTAGTAATTACGATTTAAGTTTGCGTAAATTTTACTTTTGAAGCTGCTATTTGCTCTTCTGAAATTACATGTCCATTATATACATTAAGGGCGCGTTTGGTAAAATTTATTAGAGCTTTATTTTTTTTAGTATTGTTTATGAATTATAAGTTTAAATTTGTATTAAAGGAGAAATTTAAAAATTATTTTTAAAAATAGTAAAAAGTGAGAAAGAATAGAGTAAAAAAGAAATTTATAAAGAAGTAAAAGTTTAAAACTTTTTAAAATTTATTGTTTAAGGACATTTTAAGATTAAAAAAAGTTAAAAAATATAAATTTTTTTAAAAAAATTTTAAATGTATAAAACACAAATAATGTCAATAAATCAAAATACTTACAAATTTCACCAAACATGTTTTTAAGTATTTAAAAAAAAAAATAAAAGTGTTCTAAACTTAGATCCCATCAAAATTATTATAAATTTATAATATATAATATATCGTTATATAATTATTTTTTATTTAAATATTTATTATTAATATTATATATATTTATTAATAATATATTATATTATAATTATAAATTAATAATTTTGCGTGATATTATATTTATAATAACACCATTAATTTATTGAGGAAATGGTTGGATGTAATGCAGGCGGAGGGATGAAAGTCGTGTTGACAAAGCCGTTATCATCGGATGTGGAATCCGAGGACAGAGCTCCTAATGTACTCCATCGGATTTTAAGTCTCTTCAATAACGTACGCTCAGGATCGGATCTCACAGTCTTCCGGGTTAGTGTATCATGTCATCTTTTCTTTCCCTTGTCTCTATATCGAATCTTTCAAGGGATTCTCTCACATGTGTTACTAGAATATTCTAAGCATACATTAATTATATTTTTTTATTAATTCATATAAAAAATAAAAAAACAAATTTTATTTTTAATATTAATCATATATATTTAATAAA